TCGGGTAAGGAATTCTATTGACCGAGGGGAAGGTATTAGGCATCTCCCGAATCCCGTGGTTCTAGCACGGTCACTTTATGATCTTTTATGACTTAAACTAATTTTTGAATATTATATTATTAAGACAAATGTATTTACCCTCATTCTTTGATTTTTCTTCTTTTTCTTTTCTTACCTTTTTTTTTAAAAAAAATAGTTGTGTTTTTTTAAATGATCATACTAAATATTTTATTATTTTTTTAACACTATACTTTTGTTTCTTTTCATTTTAGCAGTATTTTTTATTAAATTTATTTTTCCCTATACATTTTCTCCATTCTTTCAATTATACTCTTTTTTTTCTATTACTCTTTTTCTGATTCAGATGTTCTTTCATCACTTTGTTTTCTTCTTTTGTTATTCACGTATTCTACCTCTTTTCCTTATTCCATTTTTATTGTAATTTTTTTTTATCTTTTTTCTTTCAATTTATTATCCTCTCCTTATCCTAACAAGTTTATTATTATTATTTTAAATGGAATCTAAAAATAATATTGTAAGACAACATACATAATATAATATAAAATATAATTTAATACATTTCTAAACACAACCAAACAAAGAATTCATTCAAATTAGTAAGACATGAATATAAAAATTTGGATAACTATGCATATTATCATTAGAATCATAATAACTACACATATTATCATTAAAAAGGTAAACATGGAAAATAAAAATAGACTTAGACAATAATTTTACTTAAGCATGAAATAAACTATGAGTTATTTAATATGAAATAAACTTCGGTTTGTTATAGCAATTTCACACAATATATAACTATATAAGGGATCTAAACATAAAGTTGATATGAAATATTTAAACAAACTTCATATAAAAACATAACGGTTTAATCATATGTGAAATTTGACAACTTCAATATATTGTAATCAATGCTTGTATAACATGATATTAAATTATTTAAAAAAAATTAAATGGCACCTCTTGCGAAAATTCCACCAAAAGAAAACAATTCGAATAAGGAACGACGAAAGTAAACCTCAACTTCAACTTTTGTTTGTGAGTCAAAGCAAAATATGTGAATATATTTACTGATTTTTTTGTTTGTGGGTGGTTCTCTTCCTTTTTGTGTGCATTTTTTCTTTTCGCGTTTTTTTCTTCCTTTTGCCCTTTTTTTCCTTTCTGTCTGATTTCCTCTTCTTCTTCTTTCCTCTTTTGCTTGCAGATTTTTTTCCTCTTCTCTTCTTTCTGTTCTTTTTTTCTGCCCCTCTCCCTCTTTTTTTGTTTTTTGTTTTTTGTATATGTGTCAATGTGTGTACATGTGGTGTGAGTGGGGAGTAGGGGAGTGGGGTCACGGGGTCACGAGGTGTGTGGGGGT